ACATGATTGAGTCTGCATGCATGCATGCACACACACATAGAATATATGCAATAATGCACAATCATGAGGTAATCCACACAATTAGTGTATTATACACCTTTCAATTACGCATTCTTTGATACATTTCTATACATGTTGTAAAATTGTAAATAGATTACTCAAAATAAATAAGTACCAAATAAACATAGTAACAGCATTACAAAATTCTTAAAATATGTAAAAGTAGTACTGATCTTTGTCATTGAAATACAGTTTCCTAAAAATTAGGTAAGATTAAGTACAGATTAAAGGATTCATAGGTAAAGAGACACAACTGCACATGTAAAATTGAAACTAGTCTATATACGCTACTTTGAAAACATTCGCATACCCTTTTCTCAAGATTAAGTGTCAAAAAAAGTGGTCAGGTATTAACTGTCTTCTGAATTATTAGCATTAAGCTAACTAGACAGGGCTAACAAAATTAAGCCCTAGTGCTTAAGTCCCTAAGTACCACTTAATTTTACCTACATTTGTTTCAAATCCAATATATGTCTCTGGGGACCAAGTATAAAATAACCATCTTTGCCTGAAAAATGTCCATCAAAATACTTTCACAAAAGACATTTTTATTTTAAAAAATCTAAATACTCAATGAAATGTAAATACAAAATGACTGAAAAGTTTGCCTACAGTTTTCTGATAGAAAAGCCATTCCTATTAACAGTTATGTACTTGCTATTTCAGTTTCATATTTCATAGCCTTACACAGCTGTGACTCTGCTCTTCTAAAATGTATACTCAAATCAGGCACAAAGTCTTAAGCTAAGTCATGCTACAGTGCCTGTGAGAAGTATCTTATTTGTGAAAAGGCACAAAAACCTATTAATTGAATGAATAAATTGCCTATTAACAGAAAATAACGAACAGTAAAAGGGTAAACATACATTAAAATGGAGAGGTAGTATTTGGAAATGCATTTTGTACTAATGTCATTCAGGATTGTGTGTGTGCATGTGCGCTCAGCTTTCAGATTTATTTCTAAAGATACAAGAAATTTTGTGAAGTAAAGTGGTTCAGTCATGTCCGACTCTCTGTGAACCCATGGACTGTAGCCTACCAGGTTCCTCTGTCCATGGAATTCTTCAGGCAAGAATACTGGAGTGGGTTGCCATTTCCTTCAGGGGATCTTCTCAACCCAGGGATTGAACCCAGGTCTTCCGCATTGCAGGCAGATGTCTTACTGTCTTAGCCACCAGGGCAGCCATGAAATTTTGTGGATGGTACTAAATTCTAGTTTAAAGTTATCTTTGTAGTTTTTATTAATTGAGAAACAAGGTATTATCCTCATTCAGAAAATACTATTACCAATGGGATATGCATCGGAAAAAAAGACAAAAACCCCAAACACAAGATTTTGGTAGTCCACCTACTACCTCTCACATAGTATTCCTTGTAGTAATACATTCATTGCTACACATACCTAAGTTCACACAGTACAAACAGTGTGTACGTACCTGGAAGCGTTAACATTAACAGTGTATGTATCAGAATCAGTATATGTATCTGTATAGATATCAGATAGATACCTGTATGTGTATCAGAATCCCAGATCTCCACTTTAATATATAAAGACTAGTCTGTAGCCTGTGATCCTGAAAGCTCTTTATACAAAGTTCACTACACAGAATATGAATAGAACTCATTCAATACTATTAATTATCTGTAATAACTTCTGTCACAAACTCCCTTTTGTGCACTGTGTGTGTTAAAACCTGAGGATGGATGCAATGCTTTATGATCTGCTACATGTAAATATGATGCTGTAGATTCCTTTTTACCACATTCTAAACCACTTACTGGTCAGAATGGCCTAATTCAAATATTAAAAAAATGTAACAATTACACAATTTTGCATCAGTCCATCCATGGTAGGTCTATAGTATTATATAAATTATCTGGTCAAAAATAAGTTAATATTATAATTAAATTAGTTTGCATTAGAAAGATTTTGGCAAACATAGGATCATGATAGTAACAATTATTGAGTACAGGATAAAAAGTGTTGACTGACGTAACCCCCTAGATGTTAAAGAAAATAAAAAGGTCTTATGTTTGGGAAAATGATCTCATTAACAAACTAAAGGGAAATAAGGGTAAAGCCACAGTTCTTCTGTGAAGGGCTTACATTATAAGTTCCTAAATCACAAATCTTTAAAAATGAAGCTAAGTCATCAAATAATTAAAATTAGATTACAGAGACCTACTATGTTAACAATGGAAGTTATACAAAAGAGCAATGTGTAAAAAAAAAAAAAAAAAACTAAAAAGTTTCATGTAAATGGTTTTGAAAACAAGTGCCAATGTCAGATTTGTTGTCCCAAGACAGGGTAACTGCACTGTCAATAATACAGGAACACCTTGGAGATATCACAGGTTCAGTTCCAGATCACCACATATGTGGTGATCATTACATATGTGCAATATTACATTAATATGCAATAAAAGTGCATATTACAATAAAGTAAGTCACACAAATTTATTAGTTTCCCAGTACATACAGGGCTTTCCTGGTGGCTGAGACCATCACCTGCTTGCAATGAGGGAGACCCGGGTTCAACCCCTGGGGGTCAGGAAGATCCGTCAGAGAAGGAAGTCACAACCCATTCCAGTATACTTGCCTGGAAAATTCCATAGACAAGAGGAGCCTGGCAGGCTAGTCTATGGAATTGCAGAGCTGGACACAACTGAGCAACTAACACTTTCACTTTCAGTACAAATAAAAGTTCACACTGTAGCTTATTAAGTGTACAATAGCATTATATCTTAAAAAACAAAAACAAACATTAATTTAAGAATAACATGTGGAAAAATAATGCTGATAGACCTGCTTGATGCAGGGAAGCCATAAGCCTTCAATTTGATAAACGTCCAGTATCAGCATTTTTAAACTGTGCTTCGCTGAGCAAGTCCATCGGCGCCATTTTTCCAATAGCATTTGCTTGCTTTGTCTGTGTCATGCTTTGATAATTCTGGTAACATTGGCAACTTTTGCACTAATATAATACTTGCTTTAATGATCTGTGATGTGATTTTTTATATTAATACAGTGACTTCCTGAAGTGATGGTTCACTTATGAGATGATGGTTAGCCTTTTTTTTTTAGCAATATCTTTAAGGAAGGAATGTACACTGTTCTATAGACATAATGGTACTGCACACTTAACAGACTTCAGTAGAGTGTAAATAAAACTTTTTTATGCAACAGGAAAAAAAATTTGTGTGACTTGCTTTAGTGGAATATTTTGCTGTACTGCAGTTGTTTGAACTGAACACTCAAAATATCTGAGGCATGCCTGTATACGATTTAATTTTGCATTCTGATTTTTTTCAGATTAAATTTTTTTTTGCATTCTCTGAGCATATTTTTTTTCTAATGGAAGACAGGCAAATTAGATGAAGGTGGTCCTATGTGTAAAGAATCATGGGTAATGAAAATTACTTTCACATTATAGCATTTTCCTTTTAACTCACTAATTAAAGAAAACTAGTTTTCAAAATCAAATGCTTGCTGTAAGGAAATAATACTTCAAATTGAAATGCTTCATTATTAAAGTATTTAAAGCTTTTTAATAAAAAGAATGAAATAAATCTTTCATAGAAAAGTATGAAAGTGTACTTCCATCGTAGATGGGAAACTTGGCTCCTGATAGTCTAAACCTTAATAGTACTGAATTATCAAGAACTCAATTTCTCTATCAACTTTGATGTTATCGCTGATAAGATTTATAATCATGTTTTCTTAGCTTTCACAATTCAGAAACACTTTAACTTCTCTATGCAGACAAAGAAACTAAAGTTCAAAGAATTTAAAAATCATATAATTAGGGCCTAGGTCACCTGACCTTTTACTGCTATTATCTTAATTGCTTAAAATCCATTAAGATTAGCAAATAACAAAAGCAGCACTGTATTCGTATTCAAAATGTATCAGTGTCAAATTCTGGTGGATTTCTTTACACTCTTTTACACAAGGTTATCAAACTTCATCATATACTACTATAACACAATGGATCTCCACAATGATGCTTAAGTAGTACTTGGTACAACTGCTTTACCTGCACTGCTAGCCCATATGCATGTAGGTTGATGATCTATCAATTTAGCAATTACCCTTTCATATAACACCATCCATAGTTTCTTTCTGAGGCTAAGTATTTGTGTTATTAAACTCACAGTAGTGCTATCAGCACTCAGTCCTGTAATTGGCATTAAGAGAATCCTTTAAGTGTCTGTGTCTTTTGTGATAGTTAATTCTAATAGATATTTAGTAAAAATTCTCAAGCTAGAAATAGTCAGAAGACTTTCAGAGAAAAACATTAAAAAAAAAAAGGTCTGTATTTGGAATTTATTGTATCATTGTTTTTATTTACAACTTTATTGGCAAAAAAGAAAAGGGAGTGGTTTCAAACAGTTTAACACAGGGCATTGCAGTTGATCCTGTCAGATTAATGAAGTTTCATTTTAAATGTCCATCTAATTGTCCAAAGATATACAATACTGAATCTGCATATGCAGTTTCCTTGATGAAGTTACAGGCTCATATCTTAGGCAGTCTTTTAAACATATAAATACAAAGGAAATAGAATCACTCATTAAAAATTGCCTTAAATGAAGGGTAATTTAAATTTATGTTGTCCTTGTAACAACACATGCCCAATGAAAATCAAAAGCTGGAAAAGCAGTTTACACTTCCTACTTGAGTGGACAATTACAACCATCAATCATTTTCTGCAATGACCATTTAATTTATCATGAACTACTCTGAACTTACTATGAGATGTAGCCAAAGTCAGAAAACAAGATGTAGGGAGAATATTCCTTTTTTGGAGGAAGTAAGCCCTCCATAATCAGCATGGGAAACAAATATCCTGTTGAAGAGTTTTAGGTGGAAAAAAATTAATGTAGTCAATTTCAACTCATGCTGAGCTGGCTCAATTTTTTCATTGACTTGTTTGGTGTCATTCTTCTAAATCAAGTGTGTTTAATTCTTCTTCTAGTTCATCCAAATCTTCCCCAGTAAACAGATTTTCATCAACAGGAACAGCATCGATGGCTCCATTTTCCTGTCCTTCCCCTTCGTTGTCCTCTTCCAAATCACTTCTCTCACCATTTTCAGCCCTACCTCCGGAAGCTTCACTTAATTTGTTTTCTAAAAATAAAAATTAAAATCAATAAGGCCTAGAAAACGAAAGCACTAGTCCATTAGGAATAGTTACAGACTGATATACTTCTTTTCCTTTTTCCATGAAAGCCTTCCTTAAGATTACTCTAACAAGAACTGATTTTTCTTTTTTTGAGCTTATTTGTATCAGTTTTCTAAACCTACTATAAAATATGTCTTTCACTGAAGACATCTGATTGTTTAATGGTTCATACATCTGAGGGCAAGATTTATTTTATACAACTCTGTATTTTCTACATGGCCCAACAATTAGGTTTTTAAAGTCAACTTCCATGTATTTTGATAAATGATTATGTGATCTAAAAAATGTTTATGATACAAGCAGCTACAGAGTTTTTGGTTTTACAAATAGTAGCTAACTCACACGGGCTGTAATGGTGTAAATGCAGGAACATTTCATCTTGTCATCAAATTGTGGAAAAAATAACCCTGGGGCTGTGCAGCTACTTCTTTCAGGCTATAGTTATTATGACTGACAAAACAAAAATGCTTCCCTTTCTTGTTCAATGACACCAATAATGAACAGAAGAGAATTTTCAATAGCTTAAAGTTATTTCATACATCTCCGATGACAAATTCTTAGGAATTAAAACCTCTGAGGTACTTGCAATTGTGCCTATTACTACCAAAGCCCTACTTCTAAAAGGAGCAAATTAGTTTGCGATTGCCATTAAGACAATAGTCTGACAGCATTCTCAAACCTCAGGAGGGCAGGCCAGTTTTTCCAGTTATAACTTGTACTTCTTTACTGTAAAAATAAGGTTTAGCTTTTTTTCCCCCTCTCAACTTTTGTCTACCCTTTTCCTTCACAGCAACTGTGCCAAACTTTTTTTCTTACTCAAGACAATTAGATATAAATTGTATTAGCAATCTTTTATTTCCAAATATACATGAGCCAGCCTCCTGTCCATTCTTAATCGAACGAACTTAACTACTTATAGCCCCAGATCTTGATTCTATATCTAGCACTGTTTCATCTTCAGTTTTTCTTTTTCAGATCCTTTTTTTCTGGTCCACAGATAATATTTATATTTCACATATTCTAAAAGACCCTTCTCTCATGACCATGTCTCCCTTTAAAAGTCCGTAAACGCGAGTGATTTAAGTTCACTTGTTCTCCTTACTCCTCATACCACTGTAGTCCCAGTGAAAACTGTGTGCTCTGTTCTTACGATTCTTTCCCCAGTCATAATTAATTATTTCTAACTCTCACCCGACTTAATCTTCCTGAAATTTTGTTCTTCTCAGTAACTTTCCCAAGCTTTTTCCTTTCTACTACTCTAAAACATTAATGTTTTTAGCAGTCTGTTCTAGAACATTCTTATCTTATGTATTGGGCCTGGGTGAAATCATTCCCTGTTAGCTATGAATGCAGATGAATTTCAAACCTTTTCCTCCTGGGAATGTCTACATAGTATCCTAGACAATGCCACTTTTGATAAGCAAAATATCTCATACTCATGTGCTCCCAAACTCATTTTCATTTCCTTGAAGTTTCAGTTAATGGCTTCAATATCTAACCAGCCACCCATTTCCACAGCCTCCACTATTTATTACCTTTATATTCAGCCAAATCATACGTTTATGTTACTGGTCTGGTACCTGCAGCCATCTAAGTTTGTCAAGACTGGTCTAACCTCCTTTAGACAGTTTCTTAGTTTGTGGAATTACATGAAAATTAGCATACTTACCATCCTTTTCTGAAGTATATGTGCTGAATCTTTCAAGACTGGCTACAGTAATACCTGTCTCATCTACATCTCTTGGGATGTACAGGCTTAAATCTATGTCATTTACACTCACTGAATCATCAACCTTTAAAAACACATAGAAAAGGAGTGTTACTAATAAAAACAGTTTTCATAAATTACTTGCACTTTACCTCTGACATTTATCTTAATGACAGAAAAATTAACAGTGCCAAATGAAAACAAATGACTATTGCCAAAATTCACTTCTTTTATACACTTTTTGAGAAAGGAAAAGAAATGTCACACTTGAAGCTTCTTCCTGACATCATAGCTTTACATATACAATAATTTTAATCTTTTAACTCAAAGGCAGAAATCAGAATTTTATGATAATCATATGAAAAATCAAAAGCTACTTGCTATTTTATCAGTATAGTTAATAGTTAAAATATTAATACTAATAATACTAACTTTATCTATCACCAATAATTCTGCTGCTGTCTTCTGCTCCCTTCTCTGTACTTTTTAGTGTCTCTGTCTCATGATATTTTTTTTTACTATAAAGTATTAAACAAAAACCTTTTTTTGAGAGGGAGAGTAAAACATTTTACAGCTAATACACTCAAGCATTTAACACTATATTAGGTACTATCCCAAGTTGTATAAAGAAGTATAAACAAATATGAACTCACTAACTCATTTAATTCTCAGAAGTACTTTGTGACCGGAGGGGTTGTTGTTATGGCAGTATTAAGGATGTGGAGGCCTAGAGTGTAGCTAATTTCCCAGGGTAGAGAAGGGATCTGAACCAAGGCCTCCAAGTTAGTACTCTTAACTATACTGCTCTGGTGTCACTCTCTCTGTTTCTCTCAATCAACATGAGAAGATGAAGTGCCAAAGCATCCTTCTTACCTCATCACCACCTGTTCCCTGGGTGTAACGGGTATCATCAGCTTCCTCATCATCATCATCAACCAGTTCAGGACGAAATTCAAACACCTCACGACCACTGATCTATTCAAATACACACATATATCAACTCAGGACAAACTCCAAACATTTCTTAGTCATTGATTTTATTTTTAAAAATCCTTTATTTTTTTTGGTTGTCCCACATAGCATGTGGAATTTTAGTTCCTCCATCAGGGATTGAACCCATGCCCCTGGCAGTAGAAGAGTGGAGTCTTCACTGCTGGACTGCCAGGGAAATCTCTGCTGGTCATTGACTTTAGACATATACATAATTAAATAGAGATAAAATCTTCCATAATATAGAAATTATAAAATTAAAGAAAGAATAGAAAACTTATTTAGGAGTTTGGGACATACCACTAATGCTTTCCCAGCTTTGAAGTCTGCTTTCCTTCTTTCTATATCTTGCTCAAGTTTATCAATCTTTTCTTGTCTTTTTCTTTTCTTCCATGCAAGAAAAGATTCTAGAGTGATTTTGGTAACATTTGGACCTAGGGCAGAACGCTGCAAAGATAAAAAAAAGTTAATTTTTTCCCCCCTAAAGTTATCTATGATAACATCTAATCATTTTCTCTTAGTTCAATTAAGTCCTTGCTATGACTGTTATGAAGACATTAAATCCAGAGTTAACTGCTTTATCTTTACTTTTCATGGCAAGGAGCAAAATGAGTGTCCACAGATACAAACATTTCTAAACATTATAAAATATATTATTCTGAGCTAGATGTCTTTTCAAAATCGAAGGTGAGTAAAACTTATCATGAGAAAGTCTTAAAATCAATAGCTGAAAACAATAAATACGAAAAGCAGCAATACATCCAAGTTTCATTTGTGATTCTCAAAAGATGAGGTTTTAGCTAATATGTAGCAGAACTAGGATACAAATAATTCCAAATATATCTGACTCCAAGTCTACATTTTTTATCACAATATATTGCCTCCTGTGAGACACCAAATGATACATCCTTTCAAGAACAAATGTAATATAACTTCAAAGTTAGACATTTACAAAATATATTTAGACTACCCATAGCAAGGCAAATGGATACCGTTTGAAGCATACAACCCTAAATCTAATATTTCCAATAATCTCAACATTTTCATGTCACTGCCAGAAGCCTTATCTGTTGACTCAATAAACCTATCTGCTAGCTCAAAGGATAAAATTCTTGTGCTGAACCAGAGATGAGCAGATGAAGAGTCCTTTAGGCCAGAAATGATGAAATATACTTGAAAAGCTGTAGAGGAGTTGTCTCCTTTCACATGTTAAAATAACCAATAAATAACTAGTCAAAATGGTGAAAAAATAAAGACATCAAGGAAAACATCTAAAACTTCAAGTTCAATCATTCTGAATACTGACTAAGCATTTTCATGAATTGATCTACCAGTATATGAATCTTATGAAAATAATTTGTTTGATAAGCTAGTGGCTAGCGCTTAAAAAAAACTGTTTCACAATCTTAAAATTAATATCATGATTATGGCTAGGTTTACATTTTTGACATGTAAGATTAACCAAATAAAAAGTAAGGAAGCTTTGAGAAAAATTTGTATTATTTTTTCCCTTTCTTAACAACATGCTATTGTTGCCCCCAAGTGGTAAATATTAGAATTTCACAATACTGCTTTAAGAGTTTTATGGTAGGAAAAAGATACCAGTTACCTCTCTTTCAATTAGATCTTCTAATGAAATTTCATCCTCTTTCTCTTCTTTCTTTTTATCTTTTTTCAAGACAAATCCAGGAGGAAGTGCATGACGATACATGCAAATATCACCCCCTCCAGGACATACCCAAAACCAGCCGTATTTGTTGTTTTCAATAGCTTCAAGGAAATGTTTGCACACCTAGAGAGACAGTATTATTCACAAGTAGTGGCTCAGTGTGGTCCGTTTCCAAGGTAAATGCTTAGGTATATGGAACAGTTACATTCAATTCACATCTTTTTTAAGCTAACCACTTAGGTAGAGAATACCTTGTGTACAGAAATGTAAATACACATTAATCTTAAAATATCTAATACAATGGTAACTTTGCCTTAGAGAGGACTTGTATAAAATATTTATTTTTGACATTGCTCTAAACTGAATTATACAAAAGGGTTTGCTGACATTTAGTCTTTGTAAATGCAATCCAAAGAGTGGTTTTTAAATATGAGAAATTAAAAATGGTTACAAGAAAATAAAACCAATAACTTTGTTTTGATCTTTTCTAAAAACTAACCACATGCAGTAAAGATGCAAACATTATTTCAATTATCTGAAATTATAGTCAATTTTGTATAAGAAGGGAGCAAAGCATGAATGGGTGCAAGATGAAACTGTACTGAAGCGTTAGGTAATACACTTTACAAATAAGAAGGAAAAATTAATAAGCAATATCAGTTTCCTAAAAGACTACAAGAGATAAGTAAAAACAATATTCAGAATTTTTCTAACACAGCAAGATTTTTCACTGTAAGTATACTACAGAATGAGTATGTGGACATGAATGTAAAATCTGAGAAATAGGGCACTGATTTGTAAAAGTACATTTCCTGGAATAATACTAGAACCATTATGTACCAAAAACTCATTTTTGCAATTCATACATAATAATATTTTTACTTTTATGATTAAGTGTCTCCCTACCATTAAAACAGAGTTAAGTTATGAATTAGACAGTGTAGTTTAACAGTTCTCCTTCCATTCATTTTGTACAAAAAGAATTCTTATATGAAAACGTGTATTCATCCACGTTTGAGAAAGTAAAACCATCTCAGAAAATAGCATTTGAAGAACTTTCAACACATGATTTTTAAGTCAATTTTGAACAAGAACTATGTATAACTGACACCTGTATATTCCAAACACAAAGCCTGATCACCTTATCTTTATGAAAAGATCCAGTAACTTAAATAATAATCTAGTAGAAAATAGCAGAAATATCTTGCCACATAACTCTCCCTAGTGATAAATACCAAAGCAACTCAATTCAAGAAAAGGACATACTATTTGAGTTTTTGGTTTTTTCTTTTCCGCCTCACCGTGCTTCTTGTTCACAACTTCTTCCAGTTTTTTCTCATCCCAATTATCCATAGTATCTAAATAGAGATATGGAGACTAAATACTGTAATTTTGTTTACTGTCCCCAAAATACATTGCATATATCCTTATACAAGAAAGTCATATTATAAAACTCATGACCTAACGCATTTCCTTTAAAACACCAAAGGTAAGAATAAACAGTGTTGTGATAGTTTCACCAAATCTAAGTAGTTCAGGCAAATGAGAAGGTAAAACTAGAAGAAAGAGTGAGAGACAAATACAAAACAAGCCACTGGTTTTTAAATATCTTCATTTACTTAATCAAAGGCCATAATATGATATTCAGATTTTACAAAAAACAACAAACTATTCTTCAGGACACAGTCCTACTAAGACTGAAATGGTCTTCAAGCTACTAAATATTTTAGTAACAACAAATAACAAATATAACTACTTTTAAGAATACGTCTTTAAAAAAAAATACCTTTTTCAAGCTCTTCATCTCTTGCATCAATGTAAACGCTTCGCTTTTCACATTTTCTCTCCAGAGTCAAGTCATGAGAGAACTTACACTTATCTCCTTTAGTACACTGTCCTTGCTTGAAGAATGCACATACTACAGATTTGGGATCTGCACCTAAGTCAAACAGCACATGGCATTTATATTAAAAACTGCCAGATAACAAAGTACAGCTTCTTTCTAAGATACAAATACTTTTGGTTAATTTGTTATTTTCTGTTCACTGGTGTGAGAGGAAATACCACACATATAGGTGAATATTAAGACATTTCTTTGAGGTTCTTTCTATAGCATATTATATCTGTATTTGTTTGCTTTATTCTTACCAAAAAAGGAGAGCAAAGGGGTAGGAAACCAATTAAGTGCATATGTTATTCTAGTTACTTGTCTAGTTGGAGTCAATGAGGTAAGAGGCAAAAGAGAAATAGAAATATAAATGTACTTGCAGTGCCAAGAGTTTGGGATCTGCCGTTTTTATAACCATAGGTTTGCTTTGTCTACTAACAAAGATCAGAGATTATAAATCAACTAGTAGACTGCCAAAATCCTTAATCTTCTCTTATTAGGGATGCGGGGGCTAATGGCTGGACTTAACAGTTGTATGACACAGCTATGCACATATAAAAAGGAATAATAAGAATCCACATAGATAATTTTGACAGTATTATTTTCACAGCATATACAACTGAAGAAAACATTTAAGAATTTTCAAATATGAATTACATTGGTAAAAACACTTCTGAAATTTAAAGTTTACCTTTACTTATTTTTTGAGCAGCAACTACAGGTTTGAACAACTCATTTAGCTCTTGTAATTCTTTTTTCTTGTCATCTTTCTTCAACTTCTTTTCAGCTTCACTTTGTGCTACCTATAATATTACCAGGTATGATATATAAATTTGATGTCATATAATAAAACTGTTTTCACTACACAGTAATGTCTATATCACTGACATAACAAAGACAATCACATATTACATGTATATAGTTCTTACTTCTTAAAATCAATGTTACAATGGCCTTCCAGTATATATTAAATGGTGTGTCAAGCTAGTAAATGAAATTGCTAAATCTTGTAGAGCAATTGACTCTCATAAAAAACCTATACATGGTACCATGCCAAGTTAAGAGCATATTCAAAAGCTTATAGCGATAGCATTTATTAAGCATATGCTACATGCCCAGCATTTTTAGCAAATGGTTCTCACCTGCGAATTTCTTCTTGTGACAACAACCTACTCCCCAGAAATAAGTAGGTGCATTTTGAAGATCAGAGATATAAATATCCTAAAACGCACAGTCCCACACAATAAAGAATTGCACCAACACAAATACCTGTAAGTACCCTTGGGAAAAACACTGGGCTAGGTCAATGTGGGAGACCAAACAAAACAAAACAAACATGACATATGACATAGTTCCAGGCACACAATTTACATACCTAATACGATTAGAGGTTTCATCCAAACATTTATATGTCAGGTCCTATGTTAGATGACAGGGAATACAAAGATGAAAAGACAAAGATGCTTATTTAAAGAAGCTCAGAATCTAGTGGGAAGACAGACATGTCAGCAACTATAATATAATACACGGTGCTCCGGAAACAAAGAATGCTTATATGCCTAAGAAAATTAGACTGAGCTAATACTTTATGGATAAATTCTTTTGATAAGCAAGAAATGCAGAAACAGAAGCTTCAACCAATGCAAAGATGAATCAGCTATGATAGATATCCATGAAAAATATGGACTGTATCAACAGCTGGACAGGGTGAGATTCAAGAGTTTAAAGTAAGCCAGTGACACAATCAGACTGCATTTCATAAAGATCACAATAACAACTTTATGAAGAGTTGACTGAAAGGAGTCCAAGAATGAAGGCAAGGAAAATTAGGAGGCTAATGCAATTGCTGTAGCCAAGAAAGCATAGGAGCTTAAAACAGGCGTTAGTAGCAAGGCTGGAGCAAAGGTGGAAGAAAGCTGTTAAGGAGCTAAAACTGTTAGGACTAAGTGACTGACTAGACACGAAGTATCAGGGAGAGGGAGGAGTCTAGGACTATCATTTGTATGGTGAGTGACGCTAAACAAGACTGGGAATACAGGAGGAACAGGTTTCATGGCAGGAGGTGGAGATGAGTTCAGTTTTAGACATACTTGGTATGAGATGCTGACAGGGCAGAAAGGTGGAATTATTTAGGAGGCAGCTGGACATGGATCTTGATTCCTGGACAGAAGGTCTGCTTTGAGATAAAGATTTTAGAAATAGCTGCTTACAGATAATAAAGGGTGTGTATGAGATTATGCCTGGACACCATAAAAAAGTATAAGAGCAGAGAACAGTACCCTGAATAGTATCAATGTTAAACAAGCCAAAAGAACCTGAAAAGCTTGTTAAAGGAAGAAAGAAACATCAAAGAAATAAGTAGAAATTCAGGACAAAAAAGTATTAAAGGGAAAGGAGATTTTAGGAAAGAACTGGCCAAGTATTATAATAGGGTTAAAAACATTCTAAATCCTGGCTTTGATGATGTGGTCAGATGTGTTTAAACAGAACAATGAGAAAAGTTTTCTAAAAATAAAAACTTAAGTCACTTTATATTTAATAAAAGTATTCTTTGTATCAGATGTTTGTGGGGACCAGAACCACTTTTGTAAGTATTTATGTGAGAAATCAAACGATTGTTAAATAAAGTATGGTTTGTACCCCTACTTGACAAACATACCTTGTGACATGGAAGAGCAGGTTCAAATTTAAACATTCAGGTTTCATGGAGTTCCATGTGGAGCACGGCAATAAAGCAAGAATCAACCCCTGGCTCCTCCTCTTTCCACCACATGTGTGTGGGGAGATAGAAGGTGCAGGGGAGGACATGGTTTGGATCTAGACTCTGTCCATACTCCTAGCACATGCCCCCGCATTGACTACTTCAGCCACATGGGCAGTGAAGTGTATCTTAAGATGGACTTGGGGTAAGTGACTTTGAGGCCCTGAGCTGGTATGGGGAGAAATGCATCTAGAGGAGACACAAAGTAAGGTCATCCTCTGCAGCACAGGGTTTGGTGGGGATGGGGTCGGGGGAGGAAGAATCTTCTGCCTGGCTCTAACAGTAAGACTGCTGCTCATTTCCAGTGTTAAGTATGGTGGTTAGATACCTCAAGTTCACAGATAAAAGGCCAGTTACCCAAGAGATTATAAAAAATGTATTACTGGAAGTACTCTCAAGTCCACAAGACATTTTATGGCTTTCTAAGGTTGATGAAATTTTAAATTACCAGTCAATATACTTCCCACTGGAAGGAAAAAACAGGAAGAGGAAACATGTTTGAAATGAATCCTTACATTATGCCAGAAGATTTACACTATCTTCTCATTTAACGATCACAGAAAACCTACAAGGGTAATTGCCCTTTCACTGTACTACAAATTGAAGACCAGTGTCATTAAATAATTTAAGTTCATAAAACAAATAAGATAGAGGGATGCATACTCAGGCTGATCTGATTCCAAAGCCTGCGCATACATTTTTATTAGACCAGGCTACTAAGTCAGCAGTGTAGAAATCAAGCTTTTGGCTCTTGAGTCAAACCATGTATAAGAGAAAGAAAAGTGTCGGAAGTACTAATCTGTAGACAGAATCAGTGATAGGAGTTAACCATCTTATGAATATATATTTTGGTATTTTCAGATGAAAAAAAGGTGTTTCAAAATTAAGGAAAAGGAGATAGGGTGGTGAAAAAAGTACTTTTTAAAATAAATGTCTGTGGCTATAAAATCCTAAACTCAAAGCGAAAGATCTACATTAAAAAAAAGAAACGAGAATACAGAGATTTGAAGAACATGTGTCTGAAGTTTTTTGAATGAGTTGCCAATTGATAAAAATAACCCCAAAATTCATCTGGAAAAATAAATGCCTAAGAACAGCTAAGAAAAACAGAAAAGGAGAAACATCTTAAAGGAAAGGACTTGCCTTATCAGCTAACAGAATATGTACTAGGCCACTATAATCAAAATCGATGTGGTACTGGTTTAGGGAAAGAAAAGAGAATCTAGAAATAGATCCGAATATATATGTGACTTTAATATATGTCAATAAGGATGTTTCAATTCAGTGAAATAAATGATGCTAGCTATTTACTTGAAAGGAAATATCATGCAAAATTAATTTATATGATAAATTACAGACTGTAAATAGAAAAAAAATCTAAGAAAAACACATAATCTGGTGGCAGGGGAGACCTCTTCAACCATATAAAAGAAAAGCTAGACATATCTGACAGTACAAAAACTAAAAACTGTTGCACAGCAAAGTGTAACAGAAACATCACAAATTATCTATAATGTAGACTGTTGTACAGCAAAATGTAACAGAAACATCACAAATTATCTATATCTCTCACAAGTTGACAATGAAAAGACAAAAACCAAAAAAGCAAAGGATTTGAATGGAAAAGTCAGAAGTACAGATTCAAACAGTCAAAAAGCTTAAGAAAATTTTCAAACTCACTAGGAATAAGGAAAAGAAAAATGAGGTATCACTTTATACTTAATCAGATTGGAAAACATTAAAAAGAGCTTTAGTACCTATAACTCATGCACTACAAATGAAAATGTGAAGTATTACAATCTCTATGGAGAATAATCAGGCAAACTTCTTAAAATTAGAAGTTCATTTCCCTTTATTTAGAAATATGTCACCAGATAATTTATGCTACATACATAAAAAGCACAAATGTATGTAAAAACACCTGTGCAAGAGAATTTCTTGTAGAACTGTTCTTAAAGTCAGAAAGCTGGAAACAAAGTGATTACTCATAAAGAGTGAAAAGATGGATATAGTACATCCACATCATAGAACAGTATGCAGCCATTAGAATAAATTAGAGCTATACAAAAATGGCCTGAAAAAGTATCTAGAAGGTATTGCTGAGTAACCAAGACAAGATGCAGGTAAGTTTACAGAGTAGGATTCTGTTTTGAAACACAATTATAGCACCAAACATTTTTATGTGCAACAATGTTGTACTACATCCATATGAAGAAAATGCAGAAATTTAAGTTACTTACCTGACGGGGATTTTGTTGACCAAATTTAACTTGATGAGTGACAGCCTTGATAAACTTCTGTTGCTTTGCTCCTTTCTTATTCTTCAGACCAAAAGTTTTGTCCTAAATGAGAAACAGTATTGAAATATGTTAGCAATTTATATTAATGCTACATTAGGATTCATTACTTTGCCAACAAACGTCTGTCTAGTCAAGGCTATGGTTTTTCCAGTGGTCATGTATGGATGTGAGAGTTGGACTGTAAAGAAAGCTGAGCGCCAAAGAACTGATGCTTTTGAACTGTGGGGTTGAAGACTCCTGAGAGTCCCTTGGACTGCAAGGAGATCCAACCAGTCCATCCTAAAGATCAGTCCTGGGTGTTCATTGGAAGGACTGGTGCTGAAGCTGAAACTCCAATACTTTGGCCATGCTGCGATTCATGGGGTGGCAAAGAGTCAGACACGACTGAACAACTGAACTGAACTGAGGATTCAATACATACTTATAACTATCATCATTAAACTTGTTAGTCTATGATGCTTTTTCTGAATTGTTTTAGAATATCAGTATTACAGGATATGCAGAGTTGTTACAACAGTATAATTAGTTCAACAATCAAATAAGTTTAGGAAAATGCTTATTCAACAGGGTTTCTAATTATTATGCACAGGATACCTGAAAACCTTTACCCAGAGGGGAGGCAGCCATCCTAAATCTTCCTTTACCTCAGAAAGCATTTTTCTCAGCAAAAAATGAGGGATTATGAACTTACTACTAACACATTTTGGGGAATACTGCATAAGCAGATACATTAAGTTCTGAATTGGTTTCTTGGGTAATAGAACTATCCTCTCTAAACAATTAAAGAACTCAAATTTAAAGTGCATGCATTACTAGCTGTTACTAAAATAGAAATATTAAAATTGAAGTATTCCTAACTAAAAATCAACACTTTAAATTTGGAATATTATCAAATAGTACTTTGGGAAAGCTATTACTACAATAGCAGCTATCACTTGTTGAATGCACATTACGTGCACTAAACGACAGTCTCTGACTACTAATGCTGCAGTAGGATGAACAGTGTCCCCCTCAGAGTCATGTCTACCCAGACCTCAGAATGTGACTTTAAAAAGGTCCTTGTAGCTATAATAAATTAAGACGAAGGCACACTGGATTACATATCCAACGACTAGTATCTTTATAAGAGAAGAAAAGGGTGAACAGGTTTAGAGAGAAGGCAATGTGCAGAAAGAGGCAGAGAGATTACAGTGATACAGCTTCCAGGTCAAGGAATGCCAAAGACAGTTGGAAGCCACCAGAAACATGTACGCCTATGGCGGATTCAGTCAATGTATGGCAAAACCAATACAATGTTGTAAAGTAAAATAAATAAATAATTTAAATTAAAAAAAAAAAAAGAAAAAGAAAAGGCATGGGAAGATTCTTCCCTAGAGTCTTGAGGGAGCAATGTCCTGCCTGCACCGGATTTCAGATTTCTAGCCTCCGTATCTGTGAGAGAATAAATTTCTGTTGTTTCAAGTCACCCAATTTGTGGTAATTTGTATGAGAACCCTAGAAAGTACACAGGAGGCTAGACTGAGTGAGCTTCATCCTAAGGTGAAAAGCCTATCAGGAAATCACCAAACACTGGTATCCGTAAGTCTTTTTTCCTGTCTTTTCTCTTTCTCTTGAGAAGGATCTTTCGGCTAGGACAGCAACAAGCCTGACTAGAGGACTGAAGAAGAGAGCAGGTAGGAGGTGTCTCTTAGTTTACTACATAGACATCTTAGTGGCTCTTTTCAGGCTCACATTTTAACCATGCCTCCCACATCCCTTGCGCCTAGTTACAGAGGCAGAGAGGCCTCCTGATTTATAACCTCTGCCCTCTTTCTTGCAGGGGTAATAAATAAAAACTATCAGTTACTTCTGTACTTTAAACCCTCAGTTTTTAGTCCCTTGCCTTCTGCATTACCTAGTACCTGCCATGGTTGAGTTTCTGGAAAATTTTGCAGAGCAAACCCACTTACTTCTCAATGGCACACTCCTAGGTGGGCACTCAGGCCCAACCGCTCTGTTCTACAAGATCAGTTAAGCAAACCATCATCCATCCACTATCAGTTTTCGTATGCTGAGGTTCAAAATTATAGCTGTCTTCTAATTTCAAGTCATAGTTTAGATTTCCTTCATACTCTTGTTTATAAGTGAGCTTTCAAAAGCAAGAAAGGGGCAAAAAGGTCTTAAATTCACCTGAGATCTTTTGAGAGGCATTCAATCTGAAATAAATTAAGTGCCTATTTTAAAGCCTTTATTTTAGATATTAGTTCTAAGGGAAAGGACAGGGTAGTGAGAAGAAAGTTATTATAGGTAGAGAATACTTATATACCTATGTGAACAAACTGGAATTGGAAAAAACTAATAAAACATATCTTTCAATGCTCTTAAGATCATAAAGTTCAAGAGGATTTTAGTTTTAAAAGATTATTTCTCATTGGGAAACAGCTCCTGGTTCATCTCATCTATATCCATCCATATAGCAAAACTTCAGTTTCCCTACTTAAATGCCTGTGCTTTAATATATTGCATTAAAAATTCTACATGAATTTCCTACAGCCTATGCATATAAAAAAAGGTGGTAGGTGGCATATACAAGCTGATATTTTTAAAAAAAAAATATGGTTGGCTCCCCTTGTTTATAGAGTTTATATATTATAGAGTTTAATACACAATCCAATTAGAAGAAAAAAATGGTTAAAGGTAAAGTGACATATGCAGAGATGACTGCATACAGCAACCAGGTGTGAAATGTCATAAAGAACTTTCCTTTTACAAAAAAATGAGGTCTCATGAGGGGATGGAAAACCTCAGATTAAAGTTACTAGCATGAAAATGCAATACCATCTATACATGTCTCGCCAGAGAAGAGCCTGTCTGGGGTTCAGTTCATGCTTTCTGTATTAATACAGAGGAGAAGCAAACTAAGAATTGAGCAAGGCCAAACAGAAAGACAGATACTGATATATGAAGATTTGGGCAAGAAAAAAGTCCTTTAAGGGGTGCTGGCCAGCTAGAAAGTACTCATGACAAAAGCTTCTGGTAGAGGTGTATAGGCTCCAGATCCCAGAAGAAAAACTGTTTTTCAGGTTTAATTACACGGCTTTAGCACATAATTAACCTGTCTAAAGAGATAATGAATGAGCTGTATTTTGAAAGTCTCTAATTAGATCTTGGAAATTATTGTTTTTTCCAGAGATAAAGGACACTTATTTACATCTAGCATTCACTAATCATAGACTCCTGAATATATAACTTTATTGAATCCTCTTAAAGATCATATTATCTCATTCTGTAAATGTGGATATTGAAACTCAATTCTTTTAAAGTAACACTGCTAATAAGGGGCAGGCTGTACAGTGTAATGATTTACAGAGTATAAGCTCTGGAGTTAGAGTGCCTAAGCTCCAGTATCAAACAGAACTGGGCAAATTACCTTCTTTGCCAGTTTTCTTATTTGTAAAGTGGGTCTCAACTTACTAGCATCTCAGGACTGCAGTGCAAGTCAAAAGACTTATTACAAGGAGGTGAAGCACAGTGGTTAACAGGAAGGACTCGGGAACCAAAATCCTAACTTTGCCACTTGCTGCCTCAATAATAACCTTGGGCAAGTTATTTAACCTGTTTCTCTTCCTTCAAACGCAAGGTTAATAATACTTACTTCAGTGAGGGAATTAAAGGAGCTGTGTAAAATTTATCACTTGTAGATGGCCTGCTTCTCTTTCTTTCTTTCCCCGAACACTGAGATCTGTGTCTGGTTCAGGTATTATTTGAGTCTAAGCAAAGTTCTTGTTCTTTCCACCATGAAAAACTACTCCCCAGAGAAACCAGTTAAGTTACAGGGTCGGTCAGTACACAAAGTTTTCTGAATACTACACTGTGGACCTGATGCACCAACAGTACCTCTTGAAAACAGGATAGTTTGCAATTTGGAATACTTAAAGCCTCCCTCCCCCTTCTTTTTGAATATAGGAGAGACCCTTATCTCAAGAGTAACCTGGATTTAAGGGTCAAGGGACAGTAGATGGGAAGACTAGAGGTTACACTCAACCCTAGGGAAATAGTGGTTCTCATTAGATTAATAAGGTCCCAAAGGTAAGGTGATAAGGAAGGAACAATGTGTGTTTCAGGCATGGGAAATAAAATACAAAGGAGTTCACAGATCAGGCAGTAATTCTAAAAGGATGGCTCCCAGAGGCTTCAAAAGCCTTAACATTCAGTGAACTCCAAACCTGACTTAAAACTGACACTTTCTCCCCCTTCTTACCTTTAAGTAATCCTACTTCTTTTACAGACAAGCCTCTATGTCTTAAATTAAGATATATGAAAAAAGGAAGAGGGTGTGAGGGCAGGTCAGTAATAGTGCTCAAAGATCACTGGAGTCCTCCTTTTGTTCACCAGTGTGAACAAAGGCCAGCACTGTTCTACCTCATTAGTTTCATCCCCACATGCACTCTTATATTTTTTTTTTTGTCCATCTATGCAATGGATACTTTGTTTCTGGTTAATCCAGCTTCAAGTAATAAACAGTTGACCTTAGCTGAAGTTTTTCACTGGCAACAAGAATCACTTCTCTTTCTCCATCCTTTACACACCTGGATCCTGTCCCTCTAAGCCTCAATTACTACTTCTTTGCTGCTACAAGGCCTTAGCTGGACATCCTTTATTTGCTTGCCCTAACCCATTATCTCCTCTTTTCCATTAAGAAACCTTCCATTTCCCAAAGCTGATTTCAGTTTATTAAATTTTAGCCAAAGAAAGCAAACAGTATATGCCATTTGAGACAACTGTATGAATGTTTAACAGAACCATAACCTTTTCTGATATACTCATTTCATAAAGAAGGCTAAAGTCACTCAATCCTGTCTGACTCTTTGTGACCCCATGGACTGTGAGCCAACTAGGGTCCCCTGTTCACGGAATTCTCCAGGTCAGAATACTGGAGTGGGTAGCCACGCCCTTCTTCAGGGGATCTTCCCAACCCAGGTATCAAACCCAGGTCTCCCACACTGCAGGCGGATTCTTTACTGTCTGAGCCACCAGGGAAACATATACTTATAAAATGCAAATGAACTCATGAAATTTGGGGGAGTTAAATAGGGAAAGAAAAAAAATGCAGGCACTGTAAGTTAATTATTTCAAGTGACAGAAAGTAAGCACTGTATAAACAGTGCAGGTCAGTCTGATTAACTTCCCTAACTAGTTCTTTTTATAGTAATGAATTAACAACAGCTGTTATTAATTGAACATACGTCAGGTACTTTACATGTCATCTCATTTAACCCACAGTTCTGGAATGACAGGAATTAGCTCCATTTTGCTAACGAGAAATTGTGGTTTAAATAGGTCAGGTAACTTGACTAAACTAGTTTGAAATTTTAATGCAAAATATGGGACTCAAACCCAGGTCTATTTGGCCTTGAGCTGCTGCTTCTTTCATTAAATTATGCTGCCTCTCATGTCTCTTTTTACTTCTTAAAGTTCTCAAAACTTATGTAAGCTGCTGTTCTAACAATGAGTGTCTAAGACGGTGGCAGTGGAAGCAACAGCGGTATAGAAGAGGGGACAGGTGGGTAGTGCATCCACTTATTTTAAAATCTCTTCAAAAGTGCTGCTTAAAAGCATATGTTCTACTTAACTATCAATTTTTGGTGAATTTAGAATTTCTGGTCATATGCCTACAAACTTTCCAAAATGAACCAGACTCTGAAATATTATTAACCTTTCACATGTCAAATACAGACAATACTTTTTCCACAAATATTATGGTAATAAAAATCAAATATCAGTATGAACCAGGTTTCAACTGCCACATGTTCATTGTAAGTTTGTTGCAAAGTATACTTTACTGTCACTAAGAACAGAACTATTATATGACTCATCAATTCCTCTTCTGGGTATACACCTAGAAAAAACCAAACCAAATCACTAATTTGAAAAGATACACGCAACCCAGGGTTCACAGCAGCACTGTTTACAATTGCCAAGGTGTGGAAGCGACCTAAGTGTCCATCACAGATGAACAGATAAGGAAGATGTGGTATATATACTGTGGAATACACCTCAGCCATAAAAAAGAATAAACTTGCCATTTGTAGCAACATGGGTGGACCTGAAGGATATTATACTAAGTGAAACAAAACAAAGACAAATCACTTATATGTGGACTCTAAAACTACAAAAAAAAAAAAAAAAAAAGGTTATAAGATGTACTGTACAACATGGGGAATATAGTCTATATTTTGTAATAACCATCAATGGAAAGTAACCTTTAGAAGTTGTATATAAAAATTAAATTTAAAATGTGTAGAATTAAAAAAATATATTTTACTTCATCTTAACTTTTAAAGGCTTTGGTAATAAAAAGTCTTTCTATTAACAGTGTTCAAATTGTACAAAAAAATGAAACAAGTGCTTTTCCAGATGAAATGGAATATACTGTTCCCTAACCAGGCTCAATAACATAGTATTCTCTACAAATCTAGTTTTGCAAAAAAATGATAAAACTTAACCTACAATTTACAATATTGTGGTTCCTCTCTGGAGGTAGTAAACATCTAAGCAGCACACTACCATTAAAAAAAAAATTACTATTAAAAAAGATCACTCATCATATATTAAATGTGGGCAGAAAGGCTTACTCCCACTATTCCAATATTTTTGGCTATAGAATACAGCTGTCTATTTTCCATTTTTCTTTGGTGAAGTCTTCATTAATGAAACTAAAGTCCTCTTCTATTTACCTTAAAAATAACCTTGTTACAAGATGAATAAATCCACAGCTATCATTTTTAGTTATGGGAATACTATAATTTTCAAATACAACTGCTTAAAACAAAATTAAATATTTATTTAAAAATAACTGTACACAGATAAAACTCAATAATGCATAAAGTATACTTTAACTTTCATGTAATATTTAATTTCATGTCTATATGTGAGTTTTACTTTGCATCATGGTTGAATGTGTTAATTCAACCTCGGTAAAGGAAGTTAACAAGTGAAATGCCACCCCCAAAATGCCCTTGGTTTACATAGCACCAAATGCCATCAGGTAACCATCCCCAGGGACTTACCAAGTGTCAAGAGTCCAGATTGTTCAAAGAGGTACAGCAGACACAGATGTGAAGGTGACAATGATTGTTTTCAAATCTCTAGTTATGCTACTTCAAGACAGTTCTTAAATAGCACAAATTGGGGGTAAAAATACACTTTCTGTTTCAGAGCTGGAACCCTGCCAAAGCTACCAGAATTCTAAATAAGCACGTTAGTTAAATCCAATCAACACACTAAAAATTTTGTGGGATTCTGACAAACACAAGTTCTGATTAGGTTTATACAACGAAACCCTGAGAGATTTCACTGCTATTATTTTTCAAGGCTATATATACTGAATATTAAAATAACCATTTACAAATAAATATCTTATTTCAAAACACCCAACAGGTTTTTCGTGTTCTAACGAAAAGTTAACTATTCCTGAAACGGCTCTCCATTAATTATTCAGATATATCTCATGTAGGAAAATGGTCTTTTCCAACTACTTCTAACGCACACGAGGAACTGTTTAATTATGAGTGATTAATAGCAGGAATTCGGGGAAGAAATACCTTGTTATTTAGCAGCTAAGTCGCGTCGGACTCTTGTGACCCCATGGACTGTAGTCCGCCAGCCCTCCGCCCATGGGATTTCCCAGGCAAGAATACTGGAGTGGGTTGCCATTTCCTTCTCCATGGGATCTTCCCGAGGCAGGGATTGAACTCGCGTCTCCTGTACTGGCAGGCGGGTTCCTTACCACTGAGTCACCACAGAAGTCCATACGATACGTTTATGTTATCTCAAACACGGTTCCTTCTCTAAAGGAAATTCACTGATACAGTCGTTGGACTACAAATATAAAACATTTAAGAACGTCAATAGCTTTCCTCTGCCATTAAAAGGCAATAGAATCAGTGAACTAAATGAATTTACATAAATAGATAACAAATTCAGATACAACACAACACAGCTAGTGACATCTCATCTCCCTTAAAACGTCTTTCGATTTAAATTTAATCCAGAACCTATGTGACAAGCGTCATGTACAAGACAGTGTGATACGATATCAAAGAAATCTCCTCTCTTCATGTAACTTGAAACAGTTTAGAGGTGGCTCGAAAAATGTCACCAAGAAGTAATCTGTTGGCTTGAAGGAAGTAACCACTACTCTTAGGTGATGGGTAAAGAAACACGAAACACAAAGGCTCGTCATAAGTCGACCTTCCAGAAAGAGTGTGGTCCGAGACAGTTCAGCGTATTTCTCTTTTTTAAGACAAGCCTAGAAACGTCTTCAATTTCGGTGACTAGAGGACACAACCCTGTGAGGGCACTGGGGTAGGGGTGGGGGGGTCGTTTCGCACGGGAGTCGGTGAAGGCGGCTGTGTGGGGCGGAGAAGCAACGGCTGAGTGCGGGGGGGGCCCGCGTCGTCACTACAGCGATGAGAGGCAGCGAGCATCAGGAGGCTGGAGAAGGGGCTGCGGGCGCACAGAGCAAAGCAAGGGGCACGTGGGCCCAGAAGACGCGAACAGGAGTCGGGGAGCGGGGAACCGGGAGGCTGCTTTCCTGAGAACTCGCGGCGTGAGTGGGGGAGGGGAGTAGGTACTCACTTCGATAATCTTCTCCTTCTTTTTCTGCTCCGCCTTTTTGCTGCCCCCGGCCTGAGCCTGTTTCTTGGGGGGCATTGCGGAGACAGGTCGCGCCGGCCAGACTTAAGCGCAGCTGGACTCCCTCAGGGACTCTGGCCCCACGGTAGGAAAAGGAGGAAGACGCGCGCCGCCGTTGCCGTCGCACCGCACGTAAAGCTACTCGCTCACTCGCCGCCGGAATGCGGCCTTTGCGACAGCTTGGTGCTGCAGAGCATTGTGGGTAGTGAGGAGCGGAACCCGGAAGCGAATCTGCGCCTGCGCTTATGCAGCGGCGGGCCAGGACGGGGCGGAGACGAGACGTGGGAAAATGACTGCGCGTTACATGTGATGTCGCTCAGCCGCCTGGCCTTTGCTAAATTGCCGCAGGCTCGGTGATAGTTGGGGGGAACAGATTGGGACCCACTGCATTTGTGTTGTCCCTACACAGTCTGTGTCGCTGACGATGTGCGAGATTTGCCCATCTTCGTCTCGCGTGGAGGCTCTTCCTGCCGGCTGGATTAGCAGTCATCTGTATTATCCCCATCCTGGATGACTACTGAGCATCCACAGCAACTCGGAGCTTGGAAGGCCAGGATACGGAGTTACCTTCTTCTCGTTCCCGGGTGGAGCAGGGCCAGCTTACTGGCGAGTGCCGCTTGCTTCAGATTATTGTGAAGGCTTATGAAGAAATGGAGAAAGTTTCCTTTTGTTTGAGGAGTGCCCAACCGTGAACTCCTTTGGTGTATTAGGTTTATCAGGTTAATTTCAGGCTTTAGGAAAGTGCCTAGATGATTCCTAAAATCTTCTTTGTAATGAGAGGTTACCAAACCTAGTTTGAGGGTGGAGGGCACATGTCAACAGCTTTCTTTAAATGCTTCAGTTCAGTTCAGTCGCTCAGCAGTGTCTGACTCTTTGGGACCCCATGGGCTGCAGCATGCCAGGCCTCCCTGTCCATCACCAACTCCCAGAGTTTACTCAAACTCATGTCCGTTGAGTCAGTGATGCCATCCAACCATCTCATCCTCTGTTATCCCCTTCTCCTCCCGCCTTCAATCTTTCCCAGCATCAGGGTCTTTTCAGATGGGTCTGTTCTTCGCATCAGGTGGCCAAAGTATTGGAGTGTCAGCTTCAACATCAGTCCTTCCAATGAATATTTAGGACTGATTTCCTTTAGGATGGACTGGTTGGATCTCCTTGCAGTCGGAGGGGCTCTCAATAGTCTTCTCCAACACCACAGTTTAAAAGCATCAATGCTTCGGCGCTCAGCTTTCTTTATAGTCCAACTCTCACATCCATGTATGACTACTGGGAAAAACCGTATCTTCAACTAGATGGACCTTTGTTGGCAAAGTAACTTCTCTGCTTTTTAATATTCTGTCTAGGTTGGTCATAGCTTTTCTTCCAAGGAGCAAGCCTCTTTTAATTTCATGGCTGTAGTCACCATCTGCAGTGATTTTGGAGCCCCTCGCCCCCCAAATAAAGTCTGCCACTGTTTCCCCATCTATTTGCCATAAAGTGATGGGACCAGATACCATTTAAATGTTTGGTAATCAAGAAAGAGTGACAGACTTTATTTTTTTTGGGGGGGGGGCTCCAAAATCATTGCAGATGGTGACTGCAGCCATGAAATTAAAAGAAGCTTACTCCTTGGAAGAAAAGCTATGACAAACCTAGACAGCATATTAAAAAGCAGAGATGTTACTTTGCCAACAAAGGTCCGTCTAGTCAAAGCTATGGCTTTTCCAGTAGTCATGTTTGGATGAGTTGGACTATAAAGAAACCAGAGCACTGAAGAATTGATGCTTTTGAACTGTGATGTTGAGGAAGACTCTTGAGAGTCCCTTGGACAGCAAGAAGATCCAACCAGTCCATCCTAAGGGAAATCAGCCCTGAATATTCATTGGAAGGACTGATGTTGAAGCTGAAACTCCAATACTTTGGCCACCTGACGTGAAGAACTGACTCATTGGAAAAGACTCTGATGCTGGTAAAGATTGAAGGCAGGAGGAGAAGGGATTCACAGAGGATGAGATGGTTGGATGGCATCACCGACTTGATGGACATGAATTTGAGCAAGCTCCAGGAGTTGGTGAAAGACAGGGAGGCCTGGTGTGCTCAGTCCATGGGGTCACAAAGAGTTGGATACGACTGAGTAACTGAACTGAACTGAATCCAGAAACTAGTTGGCATAGCATACACACTATTTCATTTGGTTATCACAGTGACATTGAGATAGGAGTTGTTACTGTTAGCATTTTAAAGTGAAGCACAGAGAAGAAGAAATGTACTCAGGATTCTGATAAAGGCTGAGCTAGAAATTTCAACTTTGGCAGTTAAACTTCAAATGGGGGCAGAAGGAGGCTGGCCACAAACTTGAAAAGAATGCCATAGCTGGAGGACTAGTGCCAGAAACTGATTAGAGCCCAATAGGTCCAAGATGGTGGCTTACTCAACGGTAACAAAGCAGCTTGTTAAATCCTTTAAAGACCGAAAGTGGGTGTTGGCTCAATTCTGGGAAATCCCTGCTCCTTCCCACGAATGGGTTTCCCTGGTGGCTCAAATCATAAAGAGTAGTCTGCCAGCAATGCAGAAGACCTGGGTTCAGTCCCTGGGTCTGGAAGATCCCCTGGAGAAGGAAATGGCAACCGACTCCAGTATTGCCTGGGAAATTCCATGGACCGAGGAGCCTAGCAGGTTACAGTCCATGGGGCCGCAAAGAGCCCCACACGGCTGAGCAACTAACACTTTTCCCCCAAATAGTGGAATAATCCTCCCACTCATTTGCCTATGAAATTACCCAGCCCATAAAAAACTAACCATGCCGTATTTCAGAGCCACTCTTTCTGATATGGCCCACTGCTGCACGCCTGTGGAATGTATTTCTCTCTAGGTAAATCCACTTTTTACCTATTACTTTGTCTCTCACTGAACGCTTTCTGGAATGAGACATCTGAGCTTCATTATGTTCTGAAACCAGGTGAGTGATTTCAACTAAAAGACCATGGGCTCAAGTCCCAATCTCAGTTACACAGCTTCCACTTCAGAGTCTAAATACATATCACTGATAATACAAAAGTAGATGAATAAATGGGGCCTGTTAATATTTATACAAATCAAAATTGTTGTTGTTTAGTTGCTAAGTCCTATCCTACTCTTTGCAACCCCATGGGCTGTAGGCTGCCAGGCTCCTCTGTCCATGGGATTTTTCCAGGCAAGAATACTGGAATGGGTTGCCATTTCCTTCTCCAGGGGATCTTCTTGACCTGGTGATGCTGAGCAGGGCCCTATGGGACTCCTGGGCATGAAGGCCTTTTTGTCTACCATTCCATGTAGGCATGACTGCAGACTCTATGACCGTCTCCAAGTTCCAAAGGGTGGAAGAAGTGAAAGTCACTCAATCACGTCCGACTTTTTGTGACCCTATGGACTGCAGTCTGCCAGGCTCCTGTGTCCATGGGATTCCCAGGCAAGAATATTGGAGTGGGTTGCCATACGCTTCTGCAAGGAATCTTCCCGACTCAGGGATCAAGCCTGCGTCTTCTGCATTGCGGGCCGGTTCTTTACCATCTGGGCCACCAGAGAAGCCTGAAGAGCAGAACAATTGCTAGTCGAAGGAGAAGCAGCAACAGAACCACCTGAGGTAAGATTAAAGGGACAAGAGACTCAAGATTAAGGAGACAGGACCACCTAAGATGCTGCACACACCCTAATCTCAGCAACCCCACTCTTTTGAAACTGCAGTAGGAGGAATGAACAGTGTTACTGCCTTGATCCTTACACATACCCTTGCCTGATGATATAACCTCTTCCTGCTTACCAGGGAGGGAAGGGAAGAGAAAAGAATAGAGACTCAAGATCCAAAACAAACAAAACCAAAGGTCCCTGGTGCTGTGTGTGTGTGTGTGTGTGTGTGTGAGAGAGAGAGAGAGAGAGAGAGGGAGAGAGAGGGAGAGAGAGAGGGAGAGAGATTACCCATTATGTTAAAATTCCCACTTTAGAAACTAAAGGGGCAAGTTTCTCCTTTTCCCTTATCGCACAGAACCAGATTCTAGTTACATAATTTAGGATTTGAGGAACAGATTCTTCCTGACCCCTCCCCACCATGCCTAAGCTTTTAATCTCAAAGAAATGAGACAAGACTCAGAAATAGTTCTGGAGTCCTTCAGAGCATTAGAAGAATACATTGTATTACAAATCTAGTGGTGATAGGCTGGTGGCAGCATCTCCTCTATACTTTAATTACATCCTTTGCTATTATCTCTTGCTCTTTTAGTTTTCCTAACCTGATTTCTCCAGGTTTCCCAAAATTCTGAATATCCAAGATTGCCAGATTCCTTAGATTCTGTGGGCAACATTTCCAGTAATTTTTTTTAACTTAAATTTGGCTCGATTTTAGTTGTTTGCACCGAAAGACACTTTTATGGGATGAATTACACGTGCCTTTCCAAATTTATATGTTGAAACACTGATCTTTAGAACCTCAGAATGTGACTGTATTTTCAGGTAAGGCCTTTAAATAGGTGATTAAGTTAAAATGAGGCTCTCAGTTTGAGCTCTAATACAATCTCATGGGTGTCCTTTTAAGAAGAGGAAGTTTGGACACACAGAGACACTAGGTATGCATGTGCAAAAAGGAAATACCACTTGAAGACACAGCAAGAACGTAGCCATCTCAAGCCAAGGTGGGAGGCCTCAGAAGAAACCAAACCTGCTGATACTTTGATCTTGGACTTCTAGCCTTCAAAACTATATGAATATAAATTTCTGTTGTCTAAGCCACTGAGACTGTGATATTTTGTTATCGCAGCATGCCAGTACAGACCCTAACTGATAAAGGACCAAAGTATGCTGTGGGTGTTGCTGTTATGCTGAGCAGAGGCCAGACTACTAGTTTATCTAAATTATTTTTGTTAAGACAGGATTAATTTGACTGGTCATGTAAGTTGCTGATCTACTTTGTGACTTGAGGCAGTATATATTAGAAAGTATTTTGATTTAAATATTGGATGCTTCAAAATGCTTCTGACATGTTGGCAATTTCCTTTAAAACATTTTTT